TTTTTCACCAGCGGGACCTCTTCTGTTGCACATGAGCTGAAGGGTTCGTCCTCAGGGAAATCACGTTGAGGTGATGGGTTGGGTGGGGCAGAGGTGCTCCTGAGCCTGCATGCAGAGAAGTGGCTGCTTTCCCTCACTGGGGTGGATGGATGAAGGCATCAGTCTCACCTTTCGCTTGCTTCACTTCTCATTACTGAGCTGCTTTCCATATTTTGCTTTGCAAAACAAATCATGTGAGTGAGCGTCCACTGATTGGGCTGCGGTGTTTGATTTCTGCTCTCATTACTGGCTCAGCGGATAGAAAAGGGGATTAATTTGTTTGTTCAGACTGAGCAAACATCTTTGAGTTGCAGATAAAAATACACAAGAGGCGATGCACCTAGAGACGATGGAGGCATATATTCCCTGGTTGGCCCTGGATCAAATCTCAGTTGGATTGCGTCGTTTTGCCGCTCCTCTGTGCTCCAGCCACCCCTCCTCTCATCTTCCTCTGCCATCTCCATCAAGCCTTTTCAATCCGCTCCTTCAAAGTAGAAAGAAAAATCTACTACAGCTCCCTTTGCTATATTTAGATCATTTACCATCTTTTTTTTTTTCATTTCTCCAGCATGTAAATGTAAATTTGGAGCAAAATCTACCTGCTGTACTTTCCCCAGCTGAGCTCTCATGAACAGAGTATTTCAATGGGCAGGGCTGCCATCTTCTTTGAAAGTCAAATGTGCTTTTTTTATATGCTTTAAATATGCACTTAGTGCACACAACTACCCACTTTAACTGTGTTGGGGTGAATTTTAACATCAAAACCAGAAATAAAGCCTCTTTACTGGAGTCTCCTGAGACTGCATTGACGCAGGAGCCCAAAGAGCGAGGGTTTGGACCAGAAGGAGTTTAGAGAACCTTTTATCTTGGTGCATGCTTGAAGTGGCTGCAGAAGGACCACAATACATACACTGTTAACCCCAACGGCACAACTTCATCAAAGGATTAAGTTACCATAACTCAAACATTCAAAAAAAAAGTTAGAGTATCGTAATTCCACATTTAGTTGTACTCCAACCATAAGTTTGGAAGAATTAACTCAATTGTTTTGAGCATTGTTTAAGTTTTTGTAGATGTTTGGAACACAATTTGTATACCGGCATCTTCAATTTGACTTGACTTAAATACTAAAATAAAGTTGCACATTGTTTTTGTTCTTAAAAAACATCAAATTAAGCTCAAACAAATCAATAAACTTTAGCAAATACATAGTTTCTGGAAAAACAACCCAAGTTTCATTTTAACGACTCACCCCAAAAAAATGTAATTAAACAATTGCCAATTATTGATTTTAAACAAAATAAAACTTCAACTAAGCATTACAAATAGATTGTTGCTACCATTTGTTAAAGAAAGAAAACATTACAAATTATTGAGCATGCATCAGGAAAACATTACAAAGCTCAAACTGAAACTGACAAATGAAAAAAGACAGAAACTAATCTGTCCGTAGGGACATATTAGACTCAGATGTGTCCTGTAATCACTCTGCCTGTTTAAAGAGTGACAGGTAGTCACTGGGCTGTTTGGTATCATGGTGTGTAACTCACTGAGTATAGACCACAGGAAGCTGAGGACAAAGTGTCTCAGGAGCTGAGAAAGACAATGATTGACATCATGATGAAGGTAAAGGCTATCAGATCATCTCCAAGCAGCTCGATGTTCCTCTGACTTCAGCTGCTCAGATTATTCAGAAGATTAAAGTACACAGGACTGGAGACAACCTCCCTGGACGTGTACACAAGAGGACAACTGATGGCAAACTGAAGGGAGGGAACATATGAACGGTAAACAAAGAGTCAAAAAGATTATTGTCAGATCACATCATCGGTCTGTTTGAGACAAAGTGGACTTAATGGAAGACAGCTGAGGAGGACACGAGACATAAAATAATTAGACTGGAGTTTGTCCAAATGCAGGTTGAGAAGACAAGCTTCTTGGAGAATATTATTTGGGCAGATGAGACAAAGCTGGAGCTTTTAGATTAAACGGCTCGTCAGCTCGATGTTCACAGACCCAAAAATGAAGTAAAGGACAGAACCCTGCAGCAACAGTGGAACATGGAGGAGGTCCGGTTCTGTTCTGCATTTGATGGAGAGTGTCCCAAATCTACAAAGTATTAATTTTTTTATCAAGCTTTATTTAACCAGGCAAATCCCATTGAGATCATAGATCTCTTTTGCAAGGGAGGCCTGGGCCTGAAGGCAGCTATACATGTTTTTATTCTGTGGGAGGAAACCGGAGTACCCGGAGAAAACCCACGCAAGCACGAGAAGAACATGCAAACTCCACACAGACAGACCCCAGGTCCAACCGGGGTTTGAACCCAGGACCTTCTTGCTGTGAGGCAACAGTGCTAACCACTGAGCCGTCGTGCTGCCAAATCTGCGCAGGGTCCAATGAAATCTCAAGACTATCAAGGCATTCTGGGGTGAAATGTGCTGCTCAATGTCAGATCATGGGTCCTGAAACAGGATACTGACCCAAAACACAGCTACAAACACCAAATAATGGATCAGAACCAAATAACAGGCCATTCTGAAGTGTCCTTCTGAGCCCTGATCTACTGAACATCTGTGGAAGGAGCTGAAACATCTGGAGGAAGAACACTTCAGACCTGAGACAGCTGGAACAGTTTGATCATGAGGAGTGGACCAGAACACCTGAGGACAGATGGACCAGAACACTTGTGGACAGATGGACCAGAACACCTGTAGACAGATGGACCAGAACACCTGTAGACAGATGGACCAGAACACCTGTAGACAGATGGACCAGAACACCTGAGGACAGATGGGCCAGTGCACCTGAGGACAGATGGACCAGAACACTTGTGGACAGATGGACCAGAACACCTGAGGACAGATGGACCAGAACACCTGAGGACAGATGGACCAGAACACCTGTGGACAGATGGGCCAGGGCACCTGTGGACAGATGGGCCAGGGCACCTGTGGACAGATGGACAAAGACACCTGTGCACAGGTTCTCAAAAGTTACTCAATGTATAAAACTGAAATTAACTCATGATATTTCCTTTTGAGCTTTATGCTACTTTCACATTTAAACATACAAAAGTAATTTGTTTTTAAAGAAAAATAATTAACCAGAAATACATAAATGCTTCTAATGAAGTCATTTGAAGCACAAGACAAACTTTTATAAAAACAAATTTGGCATCAAGCATTGAGTGACACTGAATTATCCACCAAAACATCAAATTGTTTGTCTTTTGTTTGTTTTTTTCTTCATTAACCATGTATCCCATCCCTCTTTGTTTAATTATCAAGCGTTTCCCTCCAGAATACTAAATGTCATGTTAGCCCCTCCAGACAGAAATTTGATTGCAACGCTCCACAAACAAACAGCAGAGATTTTATTAATGAGTCTGGACATCACAAACAGAAATTTCAGTGCAGAGAACAGAAACCCAAAGATGTTGTTTGGATAAAAACAGTTAAACCAAAAAAGTAAAGAAAGCAGAGTTACAGGAAGAGGGAGCTACAATAATTTTTTGTCGGGCTTTAATGAGGCAGCGCTGCCTTCCAGGGTTTTATGGAAGCAGCTCGTCACATCGTTTGGAGCCATCTGTACAGCCATTCAGCTCCGTCCTTCGCAGAGGATTGGCACAGGTTTGCATAATACCTGAGTGCAGCGAGCAGACTGATTTGTCTCCTCGGTGGATGCAGTCAGGACAGCAGAACAGCAAGGAGGAGAATAAAACAATAAGGGGAGGAAAGAAAATCCAATTTATGGCAGAACAAGACAACGTTTCAGTACAATCCAGGAAATCTAAATAAATTCAGCTCAGGGTGATGGAAAGGTATTTTCTAAAACTCACTGATAGAAGACTTAAATTTAGGTTGGTACAAATTAATCTTTTATTTGTAACTTTTCTGCATCTTAAGGGATCAAACTCTCCATTAAATGCACATGGGATGAATTTTGGTTTAACAGAAAAGCCATGTTCTATAATAGGCTTTTTCTGACAAAAAAAATCTTGTGTTTGCAAAGATATGAGACTAGAAAATGTTCTAATGTAAGAAACAAAATCTACACAATAATTTTGCTTGTATCAGTGCCTAATGATCAGATGCAAACCATCCTGTTCCCTGACAGAAACAGCTGAATTGCCTGAAAAATAGGACAAACATTAAATTCTGTGGTTCTGAGGTCTACATGAGTGCTTTATTTACTTTCAGTGTACCTGCGTTTCGTTATATATCAACATATTTAGAACACAACAGGAGTAAACTTTTTAAAACTGATTTTTTTGGGGCTGAATTGTGACAATAAGAGATAGGCCTTTGATTAGGAAATAATAAGGTAGCAATCTGAAAGATGCTAACATTGAAATCATTTCGTGGATTATTTATTTATTTATTTTTTTTACTTACAGGTTGCAATTAAATGCATCACAAATTTTCACATGGTCAAATAAATAAATACCTGCAAGGCCTTCCTGAAGGCTCAGAGTGCTATTCTTTGGTCCCACCCACCTCCATCAACATTGTGATTCGTTACTGTTCCTGTCAGTTAATAAACAAACTCCTCCTGCAGAGACTGACTGAGCTCAGCCTTCTGTCCTGACAGTGAAGTCCTGACCAATCAGAAACAGCCTTCAAACATGTTTCTGCCCGGAGACAAATATAAATACAAAATGTGACTGGACAACAGTATTTTCATGAATAAAAAAATGGTTCTTGCACAACTTCTAAATACTTTACAGAAAATTAGAAAAATTAACAAAAATAAGAAAACATTGAAAGATCTAACTTATATTAAATAATTTAAAAGTAACAGTTCCGTGTTCTGAATTCTTAGGGCCTTCTCTGAAGGCTTAGAAGGCCCTCAAGGTTCCCCATTGGTGCAATATAACCTTTTTTAATTACGCTGGGATTTTTTCCATTGTGTCATTGAATAGCATGAGATATTGGAGGGAAACGAGGAAAGTTAATGGTAAATATCTCAAGTTTGAATCAATATAAAGGCTAGCTGTGTTTGCGTGGTCATATCTGCACATCTATGTTTTGTCAGTGTCATAAATACTTAAAAACATCCATTCATCGTGATCTAGAAGTATTTTTTCTGTCCGTCTCTCAGGTAACGGCTACATTGAAGGGAAGGAGCTGGAGAACTTCTTCAGGGAGCTGGAGGTGGCCCGGAGAGGAGCAGGAGTGGTGAGTTTACAGAGGAGTGATTAATCCCAGATCAACCGCTCAGGTTTTTACTCATTCATCAAATCAAACATTTTTCTATAGGACCCCTCAAACCCAACATTCAGAGAAAAGATGAAGGAGTTCATGCAGAAGTTTGACAAGAACAAAGATGGACGCATTGAGATGTCAGAGGTAGGTCCACGAAGATCGTCTGGGTTTTATGCTGCAGTTTGACTTTCTGGGAGATTGCTAAAAGAGTAGCAGAGAGCTTCTAATTAAGCTAAATTTTAAACATTTATTGCCTTTAGTTTGTTAGTTTCTGTGTTAAAACTAATCAAGTTAATTTTCATACCAGTGAGGGAGAAAAGCACCGGCATATTTTCAACATTATAAGCTAAAAAATAAAAAATAAAAAAGGCAAAAATAATAGCCGAAAACATAGTCATTAAAAAAAAAAAAAAATAAATAAATAATAAAAAATAAAATAGCCATAACAACAAAATGCTTTTTAAAAGACAAAAGGTAGCAAAATGATAAAAGTAACAGAATGATAGCTCGAAGCTAAATGTAGCAGAATAGTAGCTATAAGTAGTAGAAAAGTCACCAAAAGTAGCAAGAAGCTAAATAAAAAGCAAAAATAGAACGTCTGCAGAAGTTGTTAGACCGCTGCGTTAATGCTGACTCAGCATTCATACAATTATACAACATTTTAAAAGCCAATGAGGCATTTTTCTAACACAAACGTTTAGGAAGTTCACTAAAACCTAAATAAATTATCCAAAAACAAACATCCTGCTGGATTGAGGTGCAGAGAAAATGTTTCTTTGCCCTGACTGTTGTGAGAGAACTGCCTTTATAAAAAGAAAGATAATCTGCAGATCCAAAACTGCAGCAGATAGGATCGATCTTCGTGATTGTCTCCTGGAGTATCAGTGGGAAATTTCTGTTTCCCACTTTTCAGAGACGGGTTTGAAAGAGATGCGAGGAAGAGTTCACGAAGAATCAATAATCAGTCGCTCGCCTGGAAAATGAACTCCAGGTTTAACAGCCTGGATAACTATCTGCTACAACGTGTTCCTCTGAAACGTTGGTCTTTTCATAAATATTCCCGACGAAAGGCACGACCCAGCTTTTGAGGTCGGGGTTCTTTATTATTTATGTCTCGATTGCCCATTTGAGGCCTTGCAGACAAAAAGAAGCTCCCTGTTCTCTCTCGGCACATCGACTCCACCATCTTGTTCTCACCCCGTCCATTTCCTTGTCATTTGTCTCCAGCTGGCCCAGATTCTCCCGACTGAAGAGAACTTCCTGCTCTGCTTCAGACAGTTTGTCAGCTCCAGCGCCGAGTTTATGGCGGTAAGTGAGAGTTTCTGCAACAGCCTGGTGGATTTTTTTTTAATAAAACAGCTGCTCCTGACGGCCATTTTGTCATTTCTTTTAAGCACTTTTGAACCTTTTTCCTTCTTGTTCGCTGTAAATTGTCGTTAATCAGAACAACCGAACTTCAGTTAATCGTACGCCGTGGAGCAGAATCAGTCAACTGTGGACAGCCTGCATGTTCTAGCTCTTACCTACCAACTAATTTGGCAAAATGATTCCCTATGGGTGGTTGAAGGTGGACCAATTAGTGACATAAAGTGAAGTAGTCTGAAATAAAAAAGACGCAGACTGCTGCCCTCAGCTGCACACGACTGCACATGTCTGCTGCAGACACCTGAAGGTAAAAAAAAATGTTTTTTTTATAATTAAGCTGTTCAAAACAGGTTAGGTCTGTCACTAATGGTTGATTAGCTCAGCAACAGATGCAAATAAATGAAGAGTTTCTGTTAAAATGGCAAATACGATCCTTAATGCAAATAATTATGAGCGTTTAATGTGCACAAATAAAATGAAATTTATTTTTAGCAAGTTGATTTCTGATATATTGCTGCCAAAGCCCAATAATTTTAAAGAGAAGCAAAAAATAAAAAAAGCTTTAAGTCCTTGAAGGAAGGCATATTGCCATCTGCACTTTGCTTTATTTTGAAAAATTGTGCATTTTGCACGATGCCAGGCTCAAAATATGTCTTGTGAATGACTCTCAGCTACCACCACATCAAATCTTAACTCAATATCTGCAAAGCTGACCAAGTTATAGTCATGTTTGTTTTTAAATTAGGCTATTTTAGATCAGGCCGACTCAAGAAGTTGAATTGGTGTAAATGTACATCCATTGATCACTTTCTGCAAGTTTCATTAAAATTTGTTCATTGCTTTATGAGATATTTTACTAACAGTCACACAAACCCACTCACAAACAAAGATGGGCGTAATCATCCAGCCTCACCTTTCAGCAGCAGGTGATACCGAGCTGCCAGGAGAAATGTTTCTTGGTGCTGTCGCTCCACAGCAGTCAAGATGAATATTAAAGAAGCCCTTTTTTTGGACGGTTTAGTGCTGATATAAAACTTTTAATGTTAAATTTCAAAAAGAGCAGCAGAAAAAAAAAAACCTTTTAAGGATCTCGAGAGAACACTGGAAGAGAAAATGTCAATTTTCTTGTTACGTCTGCAGCTTTGAAGGAATGGTGGCAATTAGAAATCAATTACAGGTGCGGCTCCTTGTCTGCTCCCACAGAATGGGAGGAAATTATACGAGAGGGGAGGTTGGTGGGGGGGGGGGGAGGGGAGGGGGAGTGAAGAGGCCGTAAATGAAATGTCGATGAGAAGTTGAGGGTCAGAGTTTGAGACAAAGGGAGGGCGTTAAAGGGTTAGGATGGGGGAAGCAGAAACTTCTATTTGCAGAGTCATATATAATGGATAAGACCACTGTAGCTGCTCTGTGCAGAGCTCAGAGGAGGAGCGGGGAGAAGCAGAAGGAGGAGAGGCCATCCATCTTTGATAAGAGGCCCTTCTTTGGACAGGGACTGCTGCTAGATTAAAACATTCATTAAAAAATGACTCTCTTTCTTCCCCCGTCCTTTCATCGGCCTCTGTATGTGGGATTGCATCAGAAACGGTGTGATTACACCGAAGCTTTTCACATCTCTGAACGATTTCCGCTCTGCACCGGAGGAGAGTTAAACCCTCTGTGAGGTCGATCAGAGAGAATGTGTTCGGGTGGAAGAAATCACTCAGGAGAAGAGTTTTCTGTTAGCTTTGTGAGCGAGAGCTGAGAAAATTAAAAATAATCTGAATATCTGTGTCGTTTTCTTGGTTTCTCTCAGGCGTGGCGGCGATACGATACAGATCGCAGCGGCTACATCGAAGCAAATGAACTGAAGGTAAACAAATAAAACTTTAATTTTTCATCTCCTTACATTGTAACTCATTTCATTTTATCTTATTTTTTTAATTTTTGTTGTCCGACTCACACTTCTGTTTGTTCAACAGAACACTAAGCTGTGATTATTACCTGAACGCTGTTAGTTTGAATAATGGTGTTCATTCGTCTGCAGACGTCTTCATGTTAAACTCTTTATTTGCATGTTTTGCTTTAATCAATAAAAACTAAAAAACAAAGACACAACGACAATCTTTCACATTTTTGTGTCTTAAAGCATAAATACTTTTTAATCTTTGACATTGTGTGGAAAAAAGCAACGTGGTCTACTGTTTAGCCAAAAGCTAAACAATAAGACAAACACCTCGTGAAGCTAAGTCAAAGTGAACGTCTCCAGTTTTCAGGACAGTATAAGCAGAAGAGCGTGCACGTGAGACTTCCTGTGCACAAATGTTCTCGAAGGACAAAGAAGTTCATCGGCTGCTTGTGCAGCTGAATTTTTGGAAACGTAAACAAACTACAAGAAAAAAAATATTTTAAAGCACAGAAACCACATTTTCTGCTCAAATTCAGAGCGTGCTGAAAGACTTGGCTTCATTTGTAGAAGAATGAATTGCAACGGGATTGTTAAAACAAGCAAAATAGAAGCTAAAATAAGCAAAAGAGTAGCTAAAAGCTAAAAATAGTACAACTGTAGTGGAAAAATAAAACTGCCATAACAGTATTTAAACGCTAAATAGCACTGTTGCTTAAAGCCTATATGAGCAAAGTTTGTAACTAAAATGAACAAAAAGTAGCTAAATGTTAAGTGTAGTAAAACTGTAACTTAAAGCTAAATGTAGCTAACCTGTAGCTCAATGTTAAAATGACCAACGTTATGAATAAAATTAACAATTAATAAAAGAGTAGCTAAAAGTTAAGTGTTGCAAAACCATATCTAAATGCTAAACGGCAAACCTATGGATAAATGCTAAAGTAGCTAAAGGCTAAGGCTTAGCACAGAGTGAGTCTGCTGAAGTAGATGTAGAAAAACGTTCTTGAAGGAACTGAGGAGATCCCAGTGTATTTCTATAGGGAAAGTTTTTGGAGATAAAGTTTAATGATTCGCCCTGTGATGGACTTGCGATCTGTCCAGGGTGTACCCCGCCCCTCGCACAGTGATTGCTGGACATGGGCACCAGCGACCCCCGTGACCCAAAATGGAAAAAGCGGGTAAAGATAATGGATGGATGGATGGATGGATGGATGGATGGATGGATGGATGGATGAAGTTTAATGATTCAAAAATAATCAAAGTTAGACATATTAAATCCATAAAACACGATAACTGACTAAGCAGAATGCTCTGAAATACGATTAAAATAATAAGATATGTAGAAGCAACCTGAATGGAAAACACGTGTGCGGAAGAGCTTCAAACAGGAAAATTAAAGTTTGAACAATGAATAAAAAATTCAATAAACGTCAACACCACGTTTTATTGAACCAACTCAAGAACTTGTTTGTATATGAGGTTCTGAAACTTTACTGAAGAAATATAACATCTTAAGAGTAATCAAACTGAACAATACTAATTTATGACGTTTCTTCTTTACAAATCAGGCTGTTGTTCTGATTTCTCTCCAAGACCTTTAAACAGCAGAAAGGTTGTTCTCATTTGTGCTCACCTCACAACCAGCTCCACAGACTCCAGGTGTTTTTATTTATTCTGAAGAACGGCTCATTTTGATGAAAAACCTCCATCAGGTGATTGCTTAGAGCATGTTTTTTTTTATAGATTTACAGAACCCCAAACCATCCCAACAACCAACACTGGGTTTGCACTGATAAAATATACATTAAAAACAAGTAGATGTTCTGCACTCCAACCATAAAACCTGTGCACATGTAATTATCAGTGGCCTGTTCTCGCTGTCACTTCCCAGGTAAAGAACTCCTCGTCTTTTTTATTTCATATTGTAAAAATGCACAAACATCAGGATCATCAAACGTGTGCCGTTAACCAAAGTTCCTGGCCCTTAGGGATTTCCCCACAGATCCGAACCAGACGTCACTGCAGGAGCCGTTGTGTTTAAACACCTTCCTAAGTTGGCAAAAGAAAGCAGAAAGAAGTCATATTTGCTGAATTAGGTATAAATAAGCAGAAATTAGCACAAAATTTAGGAAATTAGCTAAAAAAAAAAAGGCTGAAATTAGCAACAAAAAACCCCCCCTGAAAATTATCTGAAAAGGCAGAAAAAAAGCTTAAACTACCAGAAGGAAGCAGAAAGATCTGAAATGAGCTTAAAAAAGTGGAATTAGCTGAAAAAGCCCAAATTAGCATTAAATGAGCTAAGTGCTAAGTGAAAGAGCAGAAAAAGCTGAAACTAGCAGAAAATAGCTGAAGGGAGAATAACAAGCTGAAGTTAGCATGAAGTTAATTAGGCTGAAAGTAGCAGAAATTACCATGAAAAACTTGAATTTATTGGAAAACAGCTGAAATTAGCTACAAAAATGCTAAAAAATGAAGCCGAAAATGTAGAACAAGCTTAAACTACCAGAAGGAAGTGGAGAGAGCACATTTTTGATGAATTAGGCTGAAAACATTTGAAAAGAGTGCAAAAAATGTGGCTTTATCTGAAAAAACAAAAATTAGTATATAAACAGCTAAAAATAAGCTGAAATAGCAGGATATGCTGAAACTTGCAGAAATAATCTAAAGTTAGCATAACAAGATTAAATTAGCAGAAAGAAGTTAGAAGAAACACAAAATGTTGCCGTTAGCAGAAAGATTCTGAAAGGAGCACATAAACAGCTGAAAATAGCTGAAAGTAGCTGAAAAAAGTTTAAATTTGCACTGAAAGAAGCTGAACCAGAACAAAATGTGAAAGGAACAGTAAAAATTTGTAAATAGATCTAAAGATTGAATAATGTTAAATGAACTTGGTTCATTTTCTATGAAAAAAATGGCAGAAAAGGCTAAAAAGCTAAAGTTGCACCAAAACCAAAAGTCATAGCGCGATTGTCCTGAAACAGCTGAACGTTTTGACTTGTTGAACTAGAACAAGAATTGCAGAATGAGAACGAATCAAAAAATGTACGGAAGAATTTAGTAGCGGAAAAGGATCTCAATAATGCTATAAGTATTCACACAAATATGTACAAGTGAACTGACGCTACACAAGAAAGTGCAAACGTAACAAAGAGTCCAGAGCAGTATAAAAGGTTCGTCAGTGAGATTTTGTGGCTGCTCTAAAGGAAATTCCCCAATGACCACAACTGTTATTTTTTCTGGTCAGGTGAAGATTCAAATGCAAAAATCATGACCACATCAAAGCTGTTCATTTTGAAACGTTTAATGAAACTCCATGAAAGGACGTCCTTCCCTCCAGGGAGCCGTGCGTTATCGGGGTCAACATTTGCAGAGTCTGCTGCTTGGTTTGTTCTGAGAATCCAATTTCTTCCAGCTGACCAGGTGCAGATGAGTTACTCAGGTGTGGCTTTTTGAGCGCTTTGGGAAAATGCAGATGAGATCTCTGGCGCCAGACGTGAGCGTCCCGCTACGTTACAGAGAGCAGACATGGAAAATATGGAATCAAGTGGCGCATAAGTGGTACAATCTATGTCATGCACAGATGCATGCGCCAACACGAAATAGCACCAAGAATAACGTCAAATTCAAAACTTCTGCTTCTGTTGTCACACTTTATCAGTTTTAAGAGTTCATTCATTTCATTACCATTTTGTTTCCTTTATTTACCTAAATGCTGGTTTTAATTTCAAATTTATTGAAGACATAATGTGTCTGTCGTGTGAGCTCAATATTTCATGAACTACTGAACAGATTATTTTGAAACTCTCAGACACTAATTATTACATGAACATTCACAATCAAATTACTTTTGACGTTAATCTGATTTAAGATGGTCGCCACATACAACTGAAAAGGGCCATAACTTTCAAATTTACAGAGAACGAGTTAAAGGTTGATGGAATAGTAGCTCAGAATCATTAAAACCACAAACTCCAAGAGCTAAAAGTTCTCACAGTTACACAATTTACGAGCTTTGACCAAAACAACTCTAACTCTGTCCCTCTACAAAAGATGATCCTAGCTTAGAGAGCGATAAAAGTTCTTTCATGGAACGTTTGGCCTTTATAATAAGGTGCTTTTTCTTATATTCGTCCCTTGTTGTGCAGTGAAGATGGGGAATTGGAAATAAACTCCATCCGTTCCTCCATTTTGTGAGCCGGACAATGAAAAATAAGCAACTTCTATTTTGGTGGTGGATAAAATGGCTCCCTCCACTCTCCAGGATCGGTCACTTTGTGCTGCCTCGGACAAGAAAAAGACAAAACTCCCTCTGTTCTTCTGCACAGTGTAACTCCTACCCACTTGAACCAAGAACATTAATGTTAACGTGCATTCCCGGTTCCAATCCGTCAGCGACAGGGGGCATCGACGTATCGCTTGTTATTTCTAAAGTCTGAACCTGCAGCTGCATTAAAAGCAAGTTTTAAATTTGGTGGGTCATGTTTAATCTCAGCTGTGATAATCCAACAGATCGTCTCTTATTTGTCCTTTAATCTGTGTGTGCCATGTCTTCAGGGCTTTCTGTCAGACCTGCTGGAGAAGGCCAACAGACACTACGACGAGCAGAAGCTGCACGAGTACACACAAACCATAGTAAGACACACACGAGTTGCACCGCTTGCACAAGAGTAAACATGGTTCTTTTAAAAGCAGTATGACTTTGAATTTTTGTGCTCACCGATGCAAGAAAACACTACTGTAGTCGTCTGGTGACGTGAAAATGCAGGAGAAAACCGTTCTAGCAAAGTCAGTTACGCAATACAATCTCCACGAATGGCAAAACATGAATGCATTAATGCATCACTCTGTTAAAGACAGCCTTATATGAAACGTCTCTGCCGGGCTTCAGCGTTGGTGGCAGCAGCGCTGTGCGGCTGAGTGGCGATCATTTCCTGCAGGTCGTCTTCTCGCAGCCCAGATGCACAAACATCTGCTTCTTGGGAGCCCCCGAAGCCGAGCTGACCTGATTTTCTGAAGCAGTCTCATTGATGCTCCAATATGAAGCAATGGTTTCTCCACGGCAGCATTGAAGATTAATCAACCGCAGATTTGTCTGTTAATCTCACACAGCTCGGGTGCTCGTATCTTTTCAAACGAAGCACGTTCAGCTTTTACTGCTGAGGTTTGTAGGTGCTGCAAAAAAGAAAAGGAACAGACAAATTTAAGCACCATATAACTGTCACAGATTGTGGAAGTTGAACCCAGGAATACAGATAAATACTTGAATAAAACGTTAAGGCTGACGTGGCAACAAAACGAGGAAGCTAACAAAGACATGAAGCACACACATTGATGGACTGCAGGTATGATGAAGACTGGGAAGCAGAAAAGACTGGGGCTGATGAATAGAGAGGAGAAAGGGGCAAAATGACAACAAGGAACAGGTGTAGGTGGGTGGGACAGAACAAGGGAGCGAAGGCTAACAAGGTTTAAGTACATGAACTGTAAATGAACCAGTGGCACAGGGAACAAAACTAAATACAAAACTCAGAAAATAAACATAAGAACCAAAATAAATAAGGAGAAAACCCAACATTAAGCACAAAATACTACAAAAAAAACCATAAAAAACAGATTACTAAGGTCATAAAGTCTTCTGCATTCTGAATTCCCGCTTGAGAAGTAATAATATTAAGTATTGACAATAACAAATATGCACAGCTGAACTCAAAAAGTACTTTGATTTGAATTTTTTTTTTTTTTTAGGTAACAATCACAACTGACAAAGTATTAACTTGGTAAAAGGTGTGTTTCAGAACTGTTAAATTGTATTTTAATACACCTTATAAAATAGAGCACAAACAAGCCTCTAAAATGTCTTGAAATGTCTGCCGAGGGTCTAAATTTCCTTACTTTGTCACAGAAGCTGAAATAATTAAAGATCAAAATATTTGTCTTAAAATTAGTCAGTTGTCGGAGGTATCTCCAACTCATCTTCTAAGCAGCTGATCCCTGTAGGAGGGCTCTCTTCTGACAAATAAACACGTCCAGGTCTAATCCGCCTGTCTTCACTTCAAAAACTCCAGTAGATGAAATCGTAAATGTGGAGGGAAGCTGTCCAAGTGGGAATGGTAAATGATAAATGGTAAATGGACTGTACTTACCATATTTTCCGGTGTATAAGTCACCTTTTTTTTTTTTTTGCATAGATTTGTCAGTCCTGCGACTTATACGCCGAAGCAACTTATATAAGGTTGTTGTCGCAATTTTTGACTGATGCTTTACGTTTCTAAGAACTGCGCGCTCGCTTCACTCAGCTGGTGCAGGCAGAGAAACGCTGGAGAGCTAGTGGCTCTGGCTACGATGGATGAATGGATGGATGGATGGATGGATGGATGGATGGATGGATGGATGGATGGATGGATGGATGGATGGATGGATGGCGCCGCCCAGGTGAAATGAAGCTGTTTTGACTATTAAATAAATGCATAATAAACGTGACGGGTCAGAGCTGAAGCATAATAAATGCAACTTATACGCCGAAGTGACTTATATATGTTTTTTCCTCTTCAATGTGTTTTTTTTTTTAACTGATCCGACTTATACCCCGGAGCGACTTAAACACCGGAAAATATGGTATAAAACACCTTTCTATCTTATCAAGATACTCAAAGTGCTTTACACTACAATCTGTGCCCTCATTTACCCATTCATACAGCACTCTACTAGATCTATATAAAGAATAATCAGTGCTTTATCACATTCATACACCAATGGGACACACATCAGAGGCAATGACGGGTTCAGTGTCTTGCACATGGACACTTCAGTATGTGACTGCTGGTGGAATCAAACCCCCAACTCTTGCATTGGAGGACGGCAGCTCTAACCACTCAGCCACAGTTGTGAACAAAACAAAACAAGTAGCATCTAGGTGGAGGTGTGCTGCAAAATAATGTGCACAGCCTGCAATAGGTGCAGTGAGGGCAAAGGAAAATGGGAAAATAGGATGTAAGTTTTAAAAAAAAAAGTGGCTACATGGCTCTCTGGTCATAAAACCATCAGAATTCAATGAGACTGCAACAGGAAAGGCCTGTTGTCCTGCAAATTTCTATTGATTTTAAATTGCAGCCCTGTGAGATACTGCCTTCAACTTAATCAGCCAAAATGCTCAACATTACAGCATCCATTTTTAAATTTAAAATACGACTACAGATTCCAGCCATGAAGCCACTGCTGCTTCATTCTAATAAAAACTGCAGTAATAACTTTGCAACAAATCAGTTGTTTGACGTTGATGGACCCAATTTAATGGATCCGTACGTTATACTAAAGTCAATATTTTGGAATTAAGTGATGAAACTGCAGGAGCAAAACAATTAGAGCAAAGTGGACTTCTTCAGGAGACATTACTAACGGTTTAACAATGAATAGGTGTGAATATGTCAAGGCTGTTAGCACTCACTGTCACTTTAAGTTATTTTCAAGTAATATCTTTCTAGAGGCGCTCCTTTTTTAATGTGTTAACTTGTAAACATTCAATCATAATTCTTGGAAGATTTAAAATTTAGAGGTGTGTTGTTGTTTTTTTTTTTACTTTTCCTACTCTGAAATAACCTGGATCTATAATAAAGACAGAATACACTGCAGGTCTATTCAATCTTAAGGAAACAATTTGCTTTCACCGTTGACTTTATATTAAACACTCAAACTCTTATCCTTTTCATCTGTGTTCTGCTGAGTAGCTGAAGATGTTTGATCTGAATGGAGACGGGAAGCTGGGTCTCTCAGAGATGGCGAGGTAACGTGCGCTCTCCCTTTCCCATGCTCACAATAATAAATGTTGAAACACTCCTTCCTCCTAATGTTCATTCATTGTCTGCAGATTTGAATAATTTAACAGCCAGTGGGTCAGCTAATGAAGTACTTTGTTTCCACAGGCTTCTTCCAGTCCAGGAGAATTTCCTTCTCAAGTTCCAGGTATGATATTAATACTGAATGCAACGTAAGTGTGTAATTATCTAATTTTAGACACACTCTAAAAAACAACCTCACATATTGGAGCAGAAACACAAAAAAACAAAAGACCACATATTATACAATAAACACTCATTGACAAAATATCATACAGCAATCTACAGTATAATACCTCACAATCTACATAAATAATGTAGGTCAAACCATTCTTGATGCATCCTTACGTTTCTATGCCGACGACACAGTTGTTTCTTGTCGAGCTAAAACAGTTGCTAAGGTTCTCCAGCTTCTAGGGTCTGCATTCGACATCATCCAGTCAGATTTGTTCCATCTCAAACTGGTGCTAAATGCTGATACTGTAAAACCAAAAGGTTGTTGTTTTCTAACAGGAAGTCGGTGCCCGCAGTCCTTCCTCCTATCTTATCTACAAACGGTGCTCCTATTGAGTTTAACACTTACAAATACTTGGGAATCTTGGTTGATTCACATCTCTCTTTTAAGCCTCATGTTGAAAACTTGGTAAAGAAACTGAAAGTAAAATTGGGTTTCATTTTCAGAAATGGATCCTGTAGAAATAACTCTAAATGCTAGGAAACACCTTGTAACTGGGACTTTCCTTCCCTCCATTGACTACAGTGACATTATTTACATGAATGCTCCTGCAAGCACCTTGCAGATGTTGGACTCTGGCTATCATGGTGCGCTAAGATTCATAACTGGTTGTAACTACCGTATCCATCACTGCACTCTGTATTCACTGGTCAATTGGTCATCATTAACTTCACGCAGACTCTCTCACTGGTACATCTTCATCTTTAAATCACTTGTTTGTCTGTTAGCTTCATACATCTCCTCTTACATGTCACTACATGAGTGCAGCTGCAGCGTTCGCTCTCAGGACATAATTACCTGCAGTGTACCCTCAGACTGAATTTGGCAAAAGGGCCTTCTCTTACTATATTCCTGTAACCTGGAATAACTTGCAAAAAGATCTGAAGTTGTCGACCTTGACCTCTATAAAGGGATTTTAAACAACTGTTAAGTTCAATGCGAAAATCAATGCAGACACGTTCCTGTTTTTAGTATTTTACCCCATTTCATAATGTAGCTTGTTTTAGTTTTGTTTTATATCACTTCTTTTATTTACTTTTCATTTTATATGCTTTTATATGATTGCAGATCATCTGTGGTCTGTTTAAAACAGGTCTCTCTTGTAAATGAGTCCTCGTGACTCAATGAGACTAACCTGTATAAATAAAGGTTGAATGAATAACGATGGCCTGGATAAGCAAAGAGCTAGTGTGATATTTGATCTTGATTTGTGACCTTGATCTCGGAGCTGGGGTGATGAAAAGTGTTTGACACTGCGTAGTAGTGATGCATACTGTATGTGTTAGAAGTTTTATAAAATTACCTTCGGCGGATCAGAAGTTACGGGCGGGACAAGAGAAAGATTTTAGATGTATGTAGACTGTAAAATAAACATAATTTAAACAGAACTCCCTCATAATTACAACCTATTTGAACATTTTATTTCTAATTGTATTTATTTCATTTTGCAGGTGAGTTCAACTCAGTTTCATCTGTTGACTCATCATAAATTGAGTTAATTAAATAACTTGTTTTTGTTGTTTCACAGGGTGTCAAGCTGACGTCTGAGCAGTTCAATTCCATCTTTAACTACTATGACAAGGTAGGTGAGATTAATTGAAAGTAGTCGGAAAGTAATTAGCAGCTGATCTCGTGAAACTTTCATTTCCCTTTAGGTTATAGATTTTTTTTCCCGGAGTGCTGGGTTTTATTAATTTTTCTTTCAGAAAAGCCAATAGTGCTCAGCAGTCCTTATTTTATTTGTATTTTAAAAAAGACTGCCGTGATTCTCTGCAGAGAAAACACTTTAGAGTGAGCTGAGATGTGAGGAGCTTGTGTCGACGCAAAGATTCGTCTGTTTCAAAAGTTTGAAAAGCTTTTCCAGCTGGAGTGAAGCGCTCTGGTTGTCTGCGTGTTGTTTGTTTTGGAGCTGATTTTGTTAAAATAATGACTATGTAAATTTTTGGTTCAGACACTCCTCGTCTGTAGGGAAATGAGTCGGGCTGGGTGCACCTGTCCCTTTGTAAACAGCTCAGGGTGGTGGAGGAGTGGTTGGTTAATGGCCATATTTTTCACAGCAGTAGTGAGTCTGTGGGGACTAATGTGTGGGGAGGGAGATGATGCAACAAAGGTGAACAGTGCTGCACACCTGCTAAACCATTTTTACTGTTTGTGATGCGTTATGAGCCGTGTGAGCCGGAGGGATGCCCCATGATCGATGCAGCTGGAAGAAGGCTGACTCAGTTTCTGTTTGGGAAAATGAATAATTCAGTCTGGTGTGACACAGCAGCGACGCTTGTTGTCAGAGATGCTTTTCATATTTCCCTGTAGGTGTTGTAAAACCTGCAAACTGATTTATTTCTCACCTTCTGATGCTGATTCAGCAGCTGGGAGTAAATAGAATCGTTAAAGCTTCAAATTGAAGATGACTAAAACATAATAAAACAACTAAAGCGATGTTCAAAGTTAAATAAAAATTGGCTTGTGTTACTGCATGACAAATTATTTGAATTATTGAAAGTAATTTTTCTTAATTTTATATTTAAGCATAAACTTGAAGAAAAAAAACTGCTGATGTTCAACACCATAGTCATAGAAACTAATTACTGAATGCACCTTTACGACTGATTTGGTGTCAAACTCAATTCAAGATGGCCGCCCCAGTCAACCAAACTTGGCTACATCTCGGTCGATTTTAGAGATACTGTGCTAAAAAATGGTGTGGGTGTCACTGACAGTTATTTACAATTGTCACTATGTCAGCTCCAGAAAAAAACAAACTAAACTTTATTTTAGCAAAGAAAACAAAATGCAGGCGAAGGTGAGGAAGAGTCACAAACGGGCACAAAGGCCCGCAAAATACAGCATGTAAAATAAAATTAAAAATAAAATAAAATAAAAAAGCATAATGTTCCACTGACCAAGAAAACTGCTGAGAGGTTATGCAGGTAAAGACAAACGAGGAAATAAGGAACAGCTGAGTTAATTGAAAGAGGGCTCAGGTGAGAGTGGGCGTGGCCAGACTGAGAAACAGGATTTATATGGAGGAAGACTGGACTGAGGCTCACAGAATCTCAAAGCTGTTTTACCAACAAGGTGATAAACCTGATAAGAAGCACAAAAACTTACCAAAATAAACAGATACTGACAACAAGAGATGCTCCAAATACTCTTCATCTTATGAGGTCTTTAGGAGTCAGTTGACCTCAAGCCTGTTTGTCTGTTGGCAAAATGTCAGTCAATCCAAATCAAGATGGCTCCCACAACTAGTTGACATTAGTCAACAGACAAATGGCTATCACTCCACTATTTTCACAGCTGCTGAAGTCAAATCTGATGTGGTAGTAGCTGAGAGTCATCCTCAACACATACTCTGAGCGTGAGATTGTGCAAAATGTTGTTTTCCAATCTTAACCCAGGAAGATCTTAGTCTAAAACTCTGGCATGAACAATGACGGGTGATACACTGTACATCCCTGTTTCCCAGTAAAAATAAGTGCACCTCTGACTGTATGTGAGTTGTTGTCCAAAGGGCAAAGCTGTGCCGGTCAGCTGAACTCTTAACTTGGCTCAGTGCGCTGCAGCTTCAAACTGCACAAAGATTTGAAACGATCTGAAATCCAAAATGGCTCACAGCTTCGACCGACTGATGCTTAATGTGACGGCACTTTCCCATAACTCTGCAGAGTGCCAGATCTTTCATCCTTAAAGGGAAACTACATATAATTCTCATTTTACTCTCTGGATCTGGGACATTTCAGTCTAGCTGTGTTAACATCAAAGAACATCTCTCAAATTTAAAAAAAAAAAAAAAAAGAGAGACTGGCAAGACTCGCAGCTCTGAAGTCATCTTGAGACGGAGCCCAGATGAACAGATCGTGGTCTGATGCCATTTGCCAAAGGCAAATTTCCAGTAACTTGGACGTATCTACTGGCCTGAAACTCTATAAACAACACTGACATAACTCAGTAATTAGCAAAGAGGCTGTAAACTGACTTTACAGCTCACCCATTTCACTTAATGTGAATGAAATTTATTTTTCAGATATTTCTGGCCCACACATTCATAACTACTGTGACAAAACTCTGAACAGCAGCAGTTATAAACAAAATCAGAACCCCAGTTAAAACCCCTGGACCTCCTTTGTTTGACAGGATGTGAGTGAAGGACGTCAGTTTTGGTGTCTGGCAGCGCTGACAGCTGGTCCTCATCGAGCCGGCTTGATGTGGCGGATCTTGCAAATGTTTAGTCAAATTAGATCCTGGGAAGATCCGAAGAATTACGCCTCATTGTTTTCATTGTATTCCTCAATAGGACTGTTGTGGCAAATCTACCATACAAGAAATGTGTTTTTGTACATTTGTGCAAGACAGATTTTGTCCGTAAGGAAGTGCTCGCAGCATTGAAACAATCTAAATGTGAGAAAAACAGTCAAGACGTTTTAAATAATGACCAAAAGTACAAGTAAACAGTCTTACTGGTGCCACACAATCCTTATTTCCTCCACCAAAGGATTTCTGTAGCCCTACTGGTCAACCAAAGGGGACATCTAAATTAAAGGTTCTTGACCCTTTTGTGAGTATAAGGGGCCGGTGTTCATGTATTTAAACACCATTATTCATCATTCTTCTTTGTTGAAATCAGGTCTCTCTTGTAAATGAGTCCTCGAGGCTCAATGGGATTTACCTGTATAAATAAAGGTTGATTGATTATTACCACACTGTACACATTTTTTGTTAGTTTTCATACCTAAATATCAAAGAAAAACATGCAAATTGTACATCAAAACACTTGTCAAAACTTGTCATAATCCAAACAAAATCACTGCAGAACCATAAATAAAATCACAATCAAAGTCTTAGAATGCGACTTGCAGTTTTTGCACAGCAATTGTTCGTTTGAGGCTTACTTTTTAGTCTGTTTCTGTCTATCTCCCTTTAGAGTGTTGTAAGGGAAAGCCAGACACCAGTGTGTGATTACCATGGTTGTCCTTTCAGGACATCCTGAAGCAAAACTAATATTTTTGTTGTTTATTTTGACTCGTTCCAGGACGGGAACGGCTACATCGATGAGCAAGAACTGGAGGCTCTGCTACGAGACCTTTACCAGACCAACAAGAAGGTGAGAGCTGGATAGGACGTCTGACATCCCTCTAAATGGTTTTCCGTGTATCTTACTGTGTCTGTGCAGCACACGGCAATCTGTGTAGGTTTGAATATTAGTTTAGACTTCTGGGCTTTAATGCAATTTATCTGCCATCATTTCTGCTCCTAATATACTTAAAGCTATTTTAGACATCGCTCCATCGCTGCAGCATGTGCCTGTATTTCCTAACGCGCTGAGTGTTTTGTGCATTTGACTGCCGTGATTCTCAGTTCTGCAGAAGCTCAAAAGCTTTACTGATACGAGCAGCAAATCCAAGCTCATTAGCTGTTTATCATCTCGGTCCAGGATGTACTTAAAGGAGCCGAACACACAAGTCAGGCTTCAGCGCCATTCAGAAAACAACATGAGGAGGAGAATAACATCGTGAATATGAGCCACGTTTATTTATTATGGTCCTTGTATAGACAAAATGCAGCCGTTCAGGTGACACAAAAAAGAAAAGGAACTATTTAAAAGTGTGTATGATTTGTTAGGAAACCATAATCGTATACAACCAGGTTTTCAATAGCTGAAAAAGAGTGCGCACTGCAAACTATGAAATCAAAGATAAAAATGTTATCCTGAACTGTATTAGATGGTGTCGCTTGAACCTAATTATTCCAGTAGTTTTCCAGGTATATTCATAGGCAATTCTGAGATGTGGGTAAGCACTCAACATAAAGCACCCTATTGAATCTGTCAAACTGAAAATTGAGTCCTGTGGTTGATCTACATTAGGCTGGTTGTAGTCTGTGTTGGTAACAAATATGGTGGAAATGGACAAGCGCAGAATCTCGGAGAAGACATTTAGACGGAGATAGAGTGAATCTGCAGCTGAACTCCAAAGAAAACAGAACGAGTGAGACAGCTGTTCAGAAAAAACATTGGAGATTAAGCAGAACGAAGCCGCACCATAAAGACCGAGCTAGACATTTAAACTCACAAAACATCTTCTAGACCAATAAGTTTACAGTTTCAGCCTAACTTACTGTTTTATCTGCACACGCAATAAATCTGAGCATAAATGCGTATCGATACATCGAAACTGTTCTTTTCCACGGACGTTACTGTTACTGATCTATTTTCAGTAGTTTCTCAAGAATATCCTTCTCCAAAATACAATATCCTTAGTGTTTGTTTGTGTTATGACTCTGGTAGCTCGGTGGTCAGTGCCATGGTCTTGTAATACTGAGGTTGTGGATTTCAACCCAGGTTGCATCAGGGAGGGCATCCAACGTACAACAATCACCAAATCTGTCATGCGAGTTGGCTCACTGTGTCGACCCCTGAAGAAGGGAGCAGCCGAAACAAAGTGTTTGTTTGTTTGTGTTAGGTTGAATCTTTAATCTTTGTTGATTTTGTTAGGTTTCTCCAACAAAGTTCAGTCAGCTCATCTGGACGGTTGCTTATTTTTGTTGATTTTTCGTCCTTCATCCAAAGGACTTCTTCAGTCCGAGGAGCCACAACAAACTGAGTCCCACAACCAGCACACTCACATAGTGGATCAACCGGTATGCTGGTGATAAGATGGTTTCTGGGGCCCGCCCTCTCCCCCGTCGACTCCTCTGTGGCAGCCATTGAACATGAACTTTGATGTTTGGAATCACTTTGGCTATGGCTGCCTCAGAGGAGTCGACAGGGGAGAGTGGGACTCCTGGGACTCGTGGGACTCGTGGGACTCCGTTTGTTCAGGCTCCTCAGACTGATGAAGTACTTTGGATGAAGGACGAAACATCTAAAAAATAAAAATAAAAACGTCCAGATGACCTGACTGGACTTTGTCGGATTTTTTTACATAAACGTTGATGTTCTTTAGGTTTAGTTTATTTTTGGGATACATTTTGTTAAAGACAAATGTGGCCTCCTCCTTATTCAGTATAAATATTACAGTAAGAACTCCCTGTGATTGAACAAATTCCACTTCAGTGTTGTGTTCTGATAAACTGTGAATAAATTAATTAATTAATCTGTTTTCGATTGACTTCATCAATCTGGTCTGTCCAATTTAATGAGCATCCTCATCCGTATCGCCTTGTCTTCACTCACTGAAGCAACCTGTGACATTTTATTTTTTCACATTAAGCACCATATTAAATTAAATGTTCAGACTTTTCTTTCTTTGCTGAGACGTTTCGTCCTTCATCCAAAGGACTTCTTCAATCTAAGGAGCCACCAACAAACTGGGTCCCACAAGCAGCACACTCCCATAGTGGAAAGAAACCATCACCAGCAAACTGTTTGTTTTCTTCACTATGGGAGTGTGCTGCTTGTGGGACTCAGTTTGTCGGTGGCTCCTCAGAGTGAAGAAGTCCTTTGGATGAAGGACGAAACATCTCAGCATAAGAAACCATTCAGATGACTTGACTGAACAGTGTTAGATTTTTATCTGGATTATTGAGCGTGAACTTTGAGTCTGATGTAGATTTTTACCTGTGGGAAAGTTTTTAACAAATAAAAGCTAATTTTTAGAAGAAGAAAAAAAAAACTATGGAGAATCAGACTGTGTTTCAAGCGAGCAGTAAAGAAAAGGAAGATCATAGTTCAAATTTCTGTTTTAAATACTGAGTTCCTGCGATCAGCTGTAGCTGTACTTGAAACACAGCAGCTGGATGCTCTAGCTCTTTACTGCGAACTTTAATCAATTATTCTGACAGTAATTCTGTTTGTTTTGTTTTTTTTTCTTTTTGGTCTCTTGTGAATTCCCTGTTTTGAAGCATATTTTAAACAAGAAATGTTTGCTGTAATCCAGCAAAAATTAATAATAATAATTTAAAAAAAATTTAATCTGGTCAATAGTTTCCTGAAATGCATGATTTTTATCAAAGAAAAAGTGCAAATGTTGAGTTCAGAACAACTTCAGTGTTGAATTTGAATTGATGGAATTGTCAGTGACATGAAGCAATAAAAAAAAGTCCATTTGCTCTCATTTCACATTATGTGTCTTTACCATGTTTAGGTATTTGTGGCTGGGTTAAATTTTTTCCTAATTAAAAATTCAAATCTAATTTATGCTTGTTGGGCTGCACAGCTTCTAAAAACCTTGATGCTTGTAAATAAAATGCCAAACCTTGCATCAGCACGCAGAGTTTAGGTCCTGTTTGATCGTCTGGGTTATTTTGGGGTAACTTTTGTCTGATTACACAAATCAGAATAAACAAGCTCCACCTGAACTTCTTTACTGGGTTAGAAAGGAAGGCATTTCTTTGCATCAACAGCAACAGTGACGTATCAAATCATCAAATTAGCAGCAGTGACATTAGTGGCTACAATCCCAATTAAAGATAAACCTCGAGCTTCTGAACAGTCCAATCAGCATCAGTCATAAAAAGCCTCTCACATGTGTTTTTGTTGTGTTCAGGAGCTGGATGTGAACAACCTGATGGGCTACAAGGAGAGCATCATGAGCCTGTCCGATGGGGGGAAGCTCTACCGCGGAGAGCTGGAAATCGTCCTCTGCAGAGAGCCCATTGTGTGACTTTCCTTCCTCTCCTTTATCATATTTTTGGTTTCTCTGCCTGCCTTTCTCTCCTCTCTGCTGAGCCCTCACCCATTTCCACCTGAGTAGCGACACATACCAGGTGCATGCGCCGGTCACCTCCCTTTCCAAGAAGAGTCCCCTCCCAATTAAGAAAGAATGATAATGTGCACTGTCAGCACACGGTAGCTCCTCTTCTTTAAACTGCTCATTTGTGAAACTTGACGTCTCATCCACCAGTTTACCCTCAGATTACCCCCTCAGCTCATCCTGATTTACTTCTTCTGACCTCATCCCTGTTTATGCCGTGCCTGAAATGCAAAAATCTGTGACCCCCCCAACTCTCCACACAATTTAAAATCCCAGTTTTCTTTGTCCCGTTCCTCCCCTCGCTCTAACTTTGCATTAGCCCAACCTGCAGACAGACATCGATGTTTGAGTGGTTGCTTTAAAATCTGTGATGGAGCTTAATGAATCCCCCCCCACACACTTTGCTTCCTTCCTTAAAACATCTTTCCCAGTTAAACTCTGGTCTTCCATGATATGATTTTCAATTTCATTGTTGGTTTTTTGGCTGAAACTGTCAACAGAAACATTAATAAAGTATCTGAAGATAAAATTCTCTTACACAATGCACTGATGTGATTTTGTTCAAGTCATCGCAAGAAGCTGGTTTCATTATTCTCATTTTGTCTTGTTTTTTCTGTAGCAACATGAAAATCGCAATTTTAAAAATGATTTTTGATGGCATCATTAAGAGAGTGCTATTGTTGCACTAATTAAATCTTGTTCTAATTAGCTTATTATTAATCTTTGAATGCTTCAACCAGTCAGCATTTGGGTTAGAAATTTCTGCCACTTTCATTTTGTGGAATAAATGCAGAAATGTTTGGCAGAATCCTTTTCAGCAAACAGAAATAAGAAATTAATTAATAAGAAGAGTTTGCCTGCACTGCACTGACCTGGTCAAAGCTGTCAGCACCAATCAGCTTTAACACAAATATGATAAAATTTATAAAATCTAAAGTAGTGGTTCCCAACCCAGGTCCTTGAGGAACGCCATCATGCATGTTTTACTTGTTTCCCCTGCTTTGAGGCACCTGATTTGAGTGAATGGGTGATTAGCAGGCTTCTGCAGAACTTAAGGAAGTAATTAAATCACTGCATCAAGCATGTTGGAGAAGGAAACAACTGAAACATGCAGAATGGTGTTCCTCAGGGACTAGGGTTGGGAACCACTTGCATTTCCATGGGCTTAAAGAAAACGTCAGTATTGTACTTTTTATCTCACCAAATTGATTCATACAACCTGAAAATCTATTTATGCACATAATTAAAAGTAAATTAGCATCATTTGCATGAAATGAAAATTGTTCTTGTTACGTTCAAGTTGAAAATCGGGACCTGTTTTTGTATGTGCAGCTTGAAAAACTGCATTATTTTGTTGTCCACGCTGCTCCCACTTCGACAGCAGCCTCCAAATTTATGATTTCTTCTTCTAGTATTTAGAAATAAAGATTATGACCTCATCATTTTTATTTTTGATCATCGGTGTGGTTTTTAGACCTGGACTTACTTTCTATCGAAGGAGAGCTCCCGTGCAGGTGTTTAAATTCAACTTTTTATCTGGCCCCCAAGATGATATTTTAAACGCAAAATATTTTTATCGCTTCTCATTTTGCTTTAAAACTGAGCATACTTCATTTAGTGCAGACGTCAACCAACTTAGAAGCCAAACAAAAGGTTGGATTTTTCAATATTCTTTTTTTTTTTTATGTGGACAGGTCAAATTAGACCAATCAGACTCTTATTGAAGAAACCGTAGCCAAGAAAAGCTGCAGAGTATCTGATGAGAGTTAATGTTTCGACTGAAATTGGACCAATTGTTTAAACTTGGCCCCCTTTTAGCTAAGTTTGACGCCATGGCACAGCAAGGCATGCAGAGATGTGGAATCAAGACAAAATAACAACTGAGATGCAAATGATTTGCACCATCATGTCAGGACGTGAGGTGTTGCTGAGTCATGTCTGCAGGGCATTACCAGTGTTTTCACATAGGGGTTCCCAAAGCTCGGGTCGGGAACCGACTGTGGGTCACAATAGGTATGGGGGAGTGGTGGCGCAGAGGTTAGAGAAGGTGGGTCTGTGATCGAAAGATCGCCGGTTCAAGCCCCGGTACCGACAACATCAAAAATGTGGGTGGGGTAGGTGAACCACCCACACCTGCCCCCACCCTCATTCGCCCCACCCTGGGCCCATGAGCAAGGCCCTTAACCCCATCTGCTCCCTAAACAGGTCTCTCTTGAAAATGAGTTCTCGTGGCTCAATGAGACTACCTGTATAAATAAAGGGTAAATGAAATGAAAAAAATAAAATAAATCAGAACTATTCAACAAAACTGCTCTGGAGGCCACAGTTACTGAAATCCAGCAGCTCAGGGGCCGGACATCCAGCAATTAAAGTCATTATGTAAATAAACCAAGTACTAAAATGATCTGTTACCTTTTAAATTTGTTTTTGCTGCATTGAATCTTAGTTGCAATAAACAGAACCCAAAACCGAGAACCCCCACAAAAAATAAAATAAAAATAATTTAATGAACTCATTGGTGGGCCGGACTGAAGTCACCTGGAAGTGGCCCATGGGCCACTAGTTGAATAAGCCTGCAATAGACCAAGTTTGGGCTCATGAAATGATTTTCAGAAATCAAACTAAATTTCTTATTAATATCAACTTTTTTTGTTTTACTATACCAGTAGTTGCTACAAAAGATAAAAACAGAAGATATACATAAAATATGTTTAAACGATCTGTGTTTTTATTAAGTTCTAATTTTGACTGTTTTAGCAATATTTGTGTCGTTAAAGCAAAACCATTTAGGGTTGCAAGTTTTGCCAATTTTATTCAGAAAATTTTAGGAACTCCTGATTCAGATGAAGCAAAACTAGATAAATGAACACTTTATTTTGAAGTTACTAAAGCTGTCCTGGGGGCCTGATTTAAAGAAGAAATTATGGCATTAACATAAGTTGTATTTCACATAAATTAAAACTTAGATGACAAATAGGGATGTTTGTTTTGTTGTTTTCTCGTGAAGCAAATGTAAACTGTGAATTTCAGGCAAAATTTGAAAAAAATAGATCAATACATATTTTAAATACCTTTATAATGAAATGTATCCGTGACTGGATTGTTCTCCTTTAAATGTGGGATCTTCTCCAAAATGAAGGCTAGTGTGGGCCCGATGTGTTAAAATTAAATAAGAGTTTAGAAATTATTACATAAACCCTGAGGTGAAGTGCTGCTACAGAACTGAAACGCTCAGTGATCCAAAGTGACAGCCCTGAAAAGTTTCGTCTTAGATCCAGCAAACCACCAAAAGTCTTCCGCTTCTCCCGCTGAATCGGGGATGAGAGGTTTTTCCTGCAGCTGCGCTGAGATGTTTCTCCTGAGATCGTGGGACACGACATGATATATTTCTAGTAAAACCCCTGTAATTGAGTTGACATGCTTTTAAAGCAACCTGAATAATACAGAGAGCACACGAGCTGCCCTCTCACCAAGGAGCTGCTTCAGATCAATTAATCAGAAGCATTTAAATCTTTATGGGACGTGCAGCAGAACCACGATGCAGAACTTGGGCGATAAATTCTTCTTTTTAACGAAATAAACTGAGTTTTGCTGAACATTTAAGATGTTGTCCGATAATGATGTTCATCGTAAAAAATCTGTTTAGAAATACAAGCTCAGAATTATTGAAAAAGATAAATTCACGTGTTTACTTAGTAAACAGTGGTTTCATGTTCAGAGTTTAATTCCCACTCAAGTAATCTGCAGATTTTGTGCTTCTTGTCATGTTTTAGTTCAGACTTGAATGTGCTTTATTGTTAAGGAATGAAACTTTATCTTACTTGTGTCTATTTTTTCAAACTCTTATGTTTCAGAGCAGAGTTTAAATCATTGTCAGAGTCAGATGCTGCATGGAGACACTCAGCTTTTAGTATTTTGTTGCACAGCAGGTTTTGAAAGCGTCACGGTTTGTAGAAGTTGCAGCCAGGAATGCAGACGAGGCGCTCCAGTAAAAAATAAAAAATTTATTTTTTTTGAATTACATAAAAGGCTGATAAAAGACATGTCTGCAAATACTACAAATTCACAAAACTTGAGAAGATAACACAATGCTAGACTGATGGTGAAGTGAAAAGCTGAGGGACTTTATGGACGGGGGCTGATGAGAGGAGTGGAGACACCTGGGTGACATGAGAACTGGGAGCAGGTGAGAGTGGGTGGAGCAGGAGCCGAGGAGCTGAAACTGATTGAGGAAGAGTGATGGCACAAAGGAAACTGGGGAAAAACCTGAACCGCATAAAACAATGAAAACAAATTGATGATTATGCCAACTTTTGCTTATAGTTACTGTTTGAAAAAAAAAAGATTTTTAGCACTTGTTCTGGTCACTTTAACTTTTATCTAGTATTTTATTTTTAGCTTTTAGTAGTGGTTTGCTAACTTTAGCTTTTAGCTACAGTTTTGCTGAGTTTAGCTTTCAGCAAACATTTAAATAAATTTAGGCTAATTTTAGCTTTTATAAAAAGTTTTGCTACATTTACATTTTTGTTATGATTTTGCTGATATTAGCTTTTAGTTATGTTTGAGAATTTTTAAATCCCTGGAACTGTTTTAGTAACTTTTTGGCCTTTAGCTACTATTTTGTTTATAGATTTAAGTAATGATTTTTTAACTTTAGCTTTTAGCTACTGTTTTGCTACATTTAATTTTAGCAACAGTTTTACAGATTTTAGCTAATGTTTTATTGCATTTAATTGTTAGCTATGATTTTGTTGATTTAGCTTTTTGTGATGGTTTTAAGAATTTTAGATTTTAGCAACTGTTTTGGTAAATTAAACCTTTTGATACATTTTTGGATTTAGCTTTAAATAATGGTTAGCAAACCAGCTTTTAGCTGCAGTCTTGATTGCAAAGTACTTCATTAGTAAAGCTTAAGTGCTTTTAAGGTGTGTCAACTCAGATAGATTTAGCTTATAGCTGTTGTTTTTCTCATTTTGTTTTCAGCTTCCATTAGGCTACATTTAGCTTTTGGCAACTGTTTTTTTTTTTTTTTTTTATTTTAGCTTTGAGTTGGTCTTTTACCAAATCTTAACTTTCATATACAGTATTTCTTAATTTTCAGCTAACATATTTTACAAATTTTAGCTACCTGTGGTGATTTTAGCTTTGTTCTGCTTGTGTAAACATCCCAAATCATTCAGCTCTCAGCAACACACTGAAGATTTTCAGGAAATACAGTTAATTTAGTTTAGGATCATTTCTGTTCAAACCTCGTTAAGATCGTTAACAGCAGCGAGCCGAACTTCAGCTTGATGGCTCCACATGTGAGACAGCTGGCACTATTTTCATATTTTGTTATTACTGAAGAGCCTCTGAACACAATCATCCATTCATCTTGTTATTAGTGAAGAACCTTTGAACACAATCACCCATTCATCTTGTTATTACTGAAGAGCCTTTGAACACAATCATCCATTCATCTTGTTATTACTGAAGAGCCTTTGAACACAATCATCCATTCATCTTGTTATTACTG